AAGTTTCAATGTTTAACTACTTCTTGCGTATAGCAAACATGCCAAAAATATCTATTGATAAAGACTTTAAATATAAAATAAAATATATCAATATAACTAATTATACATGAATACTATTTATTTTGAATTATATTAAAATTATAAGGGTCTATCTGGCAATGTAGGATACATTTTTTATGGATGTTTTATTATACAAAATGAGTGTTTGTCAAGATCTCGGTACTTGTGATGCATTATAGTGACTGAAAAGATCTCGGTACTTGAGGTGCATTAATTATTGTTTCCCAAGATGAGTGACTGTACAGATCTCGGTACTTGTGGGGCATTATTGTTTCCAAAAATTAGTGACTGTCAAGGTCTCGGTGCTTGCGATGCATTATTGTATCTCAAGATGAGTGACAGTCAAGATCTCGGTGCTTGTCGGGCATTATTGTATCTCAAGATGAGTGAGTGTCATGATCTTGGTACTTGCGGTGCATTATTGCTTCTCAAGATGAGTGACTGCCAATATCTCGGTGCTTGTGATGCATTATTGTTTCCCAAGATGAGTGACTATCAATATCTCGATGCTTGTGATGCATTATTGTTTCCCAAGATGAGTGACTGTCAATATCTCGGTGCTTGTGATGTATTATTGTTTCCCAAGATGAGTGACTGTCAATATCTCGGTGCTTGTGATGCATTATTGTTTCCCAAGATGAGTGACTGTCAAGATCTCGGTGCTAGCAATGCATTATTGTTTCCCAAGATGAGTGACTGTCAAGATCTTGGTGCTTGTAGGGCATTATTGTTTCCAAAGATGAGTGACTGTTAAGATCTCGGTGCTTGTGGTGCATAATTGTTTCTCAAGATGAGTGACTGCCAGGATCTCGGTGCTTGTGATGCATTATTGTTTCTGAAGATTAATGAATGTCAAGATATTGGTGCTTGCGATGCATTAATTATTGTTTCCCAAGATGAGTGACTGTCAAGATCTCGGTGCTTGTGGGGCATTATTTTATCACAAGATGAGTGACTGAACAGATCTCGGTGCTTGCGGTGCATTATTGTTTCCCAAGATGAGTGACTGTCAAGATCTCGGTACTTGCGGTGCATTATTGTTTCTCAAGATGAGTGACTGTCAAGATCTCGGTGCTTGTGGGGCATTATTGTATCTCAAGATGAGTGATTGTCAAGATCTCGGTGCTTGCGGTGCAGTATTGTTTCCCATGATGAGTGACTGTCAAGATCTCGGTGTTTGTGGGGCATTATTGTATTACAAGATGAGTGACTGTCAAGATCTCGATGCTTGCGGTGCATTATTGTTTTCCAAGATGAGTGACTGTCAAGATATCGGTGCTTGTGGGGCATTATTGTATCACAAGATGAGTGACTGTACAGATCTCGGTGCTTGCGGTGCATTATTGTTTCCCAAGAAGAGTGACTGTCAAGATCTCGGTACTTGCGGTGCATTATTGTTTCTCAAGATGAGTGACTGTCAAGATCTCGGTGCTTGTGGGGCATTATTGTATCTCAAGATGAGTGATTGTCAAGATCTCGGTGCTTGCGGTGCATTATTGTTTCCCAAGAAGAGTGACTGTCAAGATCTCGGTGCTTGTGGTGCATTATTGTTTCTCAAGATGGGTGACCGCCAATATCTCGGTGCTTGCGATGCATTATTGTTTTCCAAGATGAGTGCATGACTGTCAAGATCTCGGTGCTTGTGGGGCATTATTGTATCTCAAGATGAGTGACTGTCAAAATCTCCGTGGTATTTCAAGATAATTTGAAAAAATATACTTTATATTTTCCATCATTGATCTGTGTTTGCAATGTATGATCTCTGCTATATAAAAGAATTATAAAGAATAGTTTTACTTTATAGTTTTACTTTACCTAGAACAATTTGTAATTAAAATCAGGGGTGTAACTCTTTGCCTAAAAGTTTGCTTTAAACATCGATAATGCAGCACTAATGACATTATGTTGTAAACGCTAAACTGTTTGGTTTTCACATGAATTATATATTTTTTATTTTAGAAACGGAACATGACAAACAGGTAACAGAAGCTTACCTGAAGTATCATCAATAGAAATGGAGCAGAAAATTGACATTGATTTTTTTAAAAATACCACATTAAAATATGTAGATTCATTCAATTATTTATTGTTTTGTTTCAACACATATTTCAAGTGTTCAAAGCTCATAGTTCTGCCTTTTAGAACTTAGCTAATTGATATTTGTTGGTTTCTCCTTTATTAACCTGACAAAACTTTATATGTCCATTTCAGGCTCTGCATATCAAGTCAAAAATATTATTTACTGGTCAAGCCCTGACAAAGCGACCGTTTTTGAACCCCTGGTCAACACCAGATTGATGTGCAAAGTAGTTGTGGAGACATATTATGTCCACCAGCACTGAATTAAAAGGTTACCAACCTTTGTTGGAAGGAATGATTTTCTAAGGTTTAGAAGCACGTATTCAGGACGTTAACTTGTATGAATTATTGTTTCATTACCTTAAGTTGTCCAATTTAAGAACGTTAACAAGGTTTAACTTTGGTCTTTAATTAGCTCTGAAGACATCTGAGGATATTTAAATAGGTTTAATGGTGGTTGTTATGTCGTTGATTAGACGTTGTACAGATATCTGAGGATATATAAAGAGGTTTAATGGTGGTTGTTAGGAGGTTGATTAGACGTTGTACACACATCTGAGGATATTTAAAGAGGTTTAATAGTGGTTGTTAGGACTTTGATTAGACGTTGTACAGACGTGGAACATCCTTATTCAGGTTCATTCTGTTGGTTGGTCGGATGTTGTACCAACGTTGTACTAATGTTGTAACTACGTTGTACAGACGTTGAACGGACGTATGTCAAGACGTTGGGTAGACGTCAGTTTTTGACGTCTAAAAAATATCATATACAACCAAAATCTAACGTAGGCGCGACGTTAGGGTCTGACGTCGAACTGATGTTTATACAACGTCAAATGTCTGCTGGCTTGGAACTAACCCAGTAGAAGCACTTCTGTGTTGACCTGAATTATTAGTAATAAGGTCATAATTATAAATTACGGGAGGTATTGGACTTTGACTATGGTTTGGGGTATTGTTACAGTGACACCTTGTGAACACATCCACTCTGAAACTATTTGACAGGAAGCTTAAAACTTGGTACAGCTGTATCAGATGTCTCGAGTGCTAAAAATATACGAATATCACATTTTTCACATCAGTTAGTTACTGTTGCCTCTCATTGATTACACTGTCAGGATAATAAGATTTATACAGTGCATGTAACCAATATCATACCAAATTTATATTTAATCAATGTAGTGTAGCGTTTATGTGAAATCTGATAGATTAATAGATATTGGCTACCTATAAAGCGTAGATCATTTTATTATACATTGATCAATTTGTTGGGCAAATTATAACAATGTATCATATATTACAAATGTCAACAGCAGTAAATGTAATATATTCATTAACCCAGCGATTAAAAAAATCATGGAAACATGATAAATTCATATAACAACTTCCACGTGTATTAATATTGCTTGAATTTAAATTTCTATCATGTCAATGCACACTTTTTGAAAATAAAGTCGTCTTTGAAAGCAGATAGTTTAATCCCGGAACCGAGAGAGCGAAAGGTGTAAAAATGCATAATATATAACTAAAATACCAAGTGACCCTTATCATGCAAAACTAAAAAAAACAGTAATGGCAAATATCCCCCTTAAAGTGTTTCTCAAGTCGTCGACACACTCTGAAAGAAACCTAGTGACATCTAAAAGAATTTTAAAGAGTCTAGCTATATATATATAGTATATGATATACTTTAAAATATATCAACAAATTAAGTTTAAATTTGTAAATCTACTCAAAAGCTATTTAGTGAATTATTACATATAGGCATATATCCTAGTAAAGAGATAGTTATTATGGACTTACATTCTAAATCAACTATTCTAGCTCCTTTGTGAGCTTTCTATGATATTATTCACATCTTTAAGCATGTCTTTTTTATCTGTATTTCCAATATTGTATTAATCTTTATTTGTTATAAATTAAACAAGAACGCATGTTACAGATATTTTTCATTTTGAATCTTTGTCTCTCAATTCATTGATTCATCAATAAAGAAAAAAAAAGTAATATGACAGTGGTGAACGGCATGGTTTCTTTATCAAAGCTTATAATTTGAATACACTTTTGAAACATTTCTGAATCATAGTTTATCAGAAATCACAAAACACATATGAAGTTGTGATATCATCATATGACTAAAGTTTTAAGGTCTGCATAGAAATGACTCATAAAATATACAAAGAGGAATTCGGTCCCAAAATTTCTGAATGACGGACAAAATTTCATCTGTTAAGTTCAAACAAACTCCGTTTAATTTGGTTCCTCGATTGTAGACTACTAGTATGTGTTTTGATAATGATTTTTTCCCCAGAATATTTTATAAAGATAGGTATCCTAAAAATATTTCTTGTTGGTAATTTTATTTATTTGTAGTTGACCGTCATTATATATGCCAAACTCTTTTTTCACAACATCCCTGCTATGTCAAATTATATTCGTCAGTCCAAAATCTATGCATTATCGTTAATTTTTCACATTTTCCCTTTGATCCTACTGCCAATTTTTTGTTAAGTTCGCAAACAATACGTCTATAAAAAAAACTAGTCAATGACGTCGCGAAAGAATACAGAAACATCACGTGTTCATGTCCATCCGCATTATTTTTTCAATGAAACAACTAAACAACTACCTCTATGTTATGTGCGCGTATCAAAAGAGTTTTTTTTAACTACTATTGATAATTTCACAGTTTACCCAAACACATATATTAAGAAGGAATACCAATTAAAGGAATAAGGATGTATATTTTCTGATATTGACTTCATTAGCCAAACCCTGGCGGTTTTGCTTAATAATTTGGCTAATAATGTCATTATCTAAATTTAAAAAAATACCATTATTCTAGTATTAAACACCTGGCAGAAGTCCGATATATGACAAATTCAAACACCAAAAATACTTAGATCAATCAGTTCATGACACTTGAATTGGAAACATCATTGCAGTATTTGCGTTTATATTCTGTTCAGTCAGTTATTGTGCGGAATAATAAATTAAAAAAAAATTGAAGGATAACTACAACCAGTAGTTGAACAAAAATCATGAAACCAAGGGACATTATGATTACAATGACAAAGGTTTTATTTTTGGATTTGACAAAGCTGGTAAATTCATATAATAATTTCCATAAATACTCTGTTGTCTGTCTTTGACGATTGCTGTCCACAGTTTATCAAAGCCCTTGTTTCCGTGATATGCTGCATACACAACTGCGTGTGGACACTTTGTTCCATATTTTGTATAACATCTTACTGCCTTCATTAAGTGAAAATTCAACCTCGTCCTTAAATCAACGTGTACAACACCATCAATTTTCGATGGTAAAATTCCGAATAAATAAAAATCGTCCACCCAAACAAATGGTGAACCGATGGCAGCTTGGTATAACATAGGCACCAAGTCTATAGATATGAACACTACAAGTCCACTACAATATGTGTGAGGATATCGTTTCAATCCTTTAAATTCGTCATCTCCTACATACCATTTGCTTCTTTTATTTCGTACAATATTCATTCTATGTTTTCCTATCTTATTGCAAAGAATAAACTTTTTCTTCTTTTTAAGGTCAAACATTTCTTCGAAAACTTTGAAAAAATTTATATAGACATCATCGTCAATTTTTGTAACAAACTCTGCATTCATACAATGCTCTGTTATCCATTTATACCCCATGACGCCTTTGTTTGTTAAATTCCGATACGTATCTAGAAAATAGCCTTGCACTATATCACCGTACGTTTCACTTTCAGCTTCTATTCTTTTTTGTATTATTTCACTTTTTACCAATCCTAAGAGAAATACGACACGAATACTCTCTGGACTATAGTATGTTGCATTAAGCATTTTGCTCCTTAGAACCATTCTTCTTGTAAAGTGTTTAGGTGCTGTATGGACCATTACGATGGTTGACACTTTAGGAACTCCATGACATAAGTTTTTGTTATTTATTTTATATGGCATTGATATAACAATAGGATAATTAGAACCTCTAGATCTGAGTTCTCTTCTTTGTATGGAAGTATTGTTGTTTTGATCTTCATCACAATTGTAAATATCCTTCATTTGAAATTGTTGTATACTGTTGAATATCGGAATTTCTAATTTGAATTTACTGAAGTCTTCCACCATACTAAGAATCAATATGTTCAAAATGACAATAAAGAAAATAAAAGTCAGATATCTTCTGTCGTTCATATCTTGTATTTAGAATAGTAACTTTGGTATATTCTGCAAATATATAACAAAATAGTTTAAAATGTATAACCAAACATACAGTAACAAATACTTTCGGACTCGTCCCCTATAAAACAATATCTTGATTATGTTGTCGTAATGTCTCATCAATATATATTACAAACAGAACGTACAAAGTAAACATTTACCCCAAAATGTTTCAGATTTACACAATAATCTTTAACAATGTAATTGAAGTAAAATGTGTAATCACAAGGTGTTTTGTCAACTAAGTGTTGTTATAAGTACAATATATCTCAAACGCAAAACGTGATAACTTGGTAGCATAGTGATGGATTGTCGGTCGGCAAGTACACTATGGGGTAATCAGTTTTTTACATATATTTTCATACATTCTTATATGATGAATGTTTAACAAAAAAGGATCGAGGTATTTCTTTTGTCCCCATCTTCAAATATATTGTGTGTTTATTGCTGTGCATGTACTGATTTTGTGTCATTGATGGATACTCCATATCCTTTGTTTTTCTTTTTTAATGTGATAGCTCGGAACATTCCTGGTGAAAGTTAACACAGCCGTCAAACCCGAGACGTTCCATCAAGGTATAAAATGGGAATATATATACTTATCTTGAATGTTTTTTTAAAATGATTTAGGATTGTTGTTTTTGTGTCTTATTTTCAGATGGCCATCATGTGGTTTGTCCTTTTCCTACCTTTAATATTTTATTAATCCTTTGGTATATTTTCATTATTTGTGGAATCCCAAATCTGTGGAATATAGAATCTTAACGTTTCACTTTAACACATATTTCATTTAGCTTGAGGTAAAATAAGTATTACTCAATCAATTTGACTTAAAAGTATTTCTTTTTCAAAACATATCTATTGAAATTTTCTCGGTCGTAAAACAGAGTTCCCTCTTTACTGTTGTAAACCGTAAATTTTAATATGTTTACCCGAATCTGTGTCCATTCGTTACGTTATTCACAAGTCCGTTTAAAAAGTACGGCCTCAATCTGTGTCCTTTTCTTATATCTGTGTCGAGTTGAAATGTAGAAGTCATTTGTAAATGTATGTCCGTGTAAACAATTCGCCCCTATGTTCTCTTACTGAATTACCCACATTTCGATATCTATCCAAATTTGTCCTCAACCCTTGTCCTGAAATGTTTATTAACGAGGGACTTGCATTGTAAGAAACATGTAAGCAAAGACTGCCAGGGGATTAAAATGATTTTTTTTACTAACAAGCATTTTAAGAACCTTCTCCGTTTACAGACGATTTGCTTGCTAACGTGGTGTTTCCAAAAATAGGAGTTTATTTCCCTTCTAAAGCACCTGAATGTCCCAATATGAAAATAAGGAGATGTGGTACGAATGCCACTGAAACTACTATTCACCAAAGTTCGACAGGAAACAATTCAATTGAAAAACAAACGGCCTAATTCATAACAAAACAATTTACGAAAAACAAATATGACAGACATGAACCAACGAAAACTACTGAACTACAGGCTCCTGACTTATAACAGGCACATGGAGAATGTGACGGGTTAAGGGTGTCAGTAATTGTTATCCGTTTTTAGTTTTCAAGATGAAACTGTCCTTTTTGTCAAGATAGCTTGTCTTTTGTCTTTAAACAAATATCTTCATTAATTGTCTATGTTACTGTTTCATTAGTTATATCAATCATCTATGATAGTTTCCTGAACCTCCATCATAACTATTGCGTAATCTTGTTTTTTTTTCTGAAGTAAGTATGTGTGTGATGCAGATCATAACTTTTTGGAAAGGACACAGATTTGAGAAAGTAAGGACACAGATTTGTGATGTCTTTAACGCAGAAAAAAAACCCCAATTTGAACACAGATTTTAGGAAAGGACATAGATTTGAGGCCGGACCAAAATTTGAGACTAAACATATCATCCATTTTTTTCTAAAATTCATATACACGGTGACCCATTAGTTGGTTAGTCGTATTTTGTTAGTAGACGAGACCGTTAAAGATATACTTTTGCGGCTCTGAAACATTATTCACACTATTAAGAAAGTCATGCAGACGTCATATTTTGTCAGTCTTGGACAACTGAGTGAGAGGGAGTTTATAACAGTGTTGTTTCTAATTCTCAACCGGGTTAGTTTACCAACAAGAAGTAAACCCAAAATACGCGATGTACAAACTTCTGTACAAATGTACGTACAAAAACAGTAAGTATTCATATTCCTCTTCGTATAAAATATGGGCCTACAAATAAGTTCTTTTTCAATTAAGTTAATGTGATTTGTGTTTTAAAATCTTGTAAACAGGTAAACAGAACGCTCGATCGAAACCTTACTACTCTCAGTGCCAAATTGAAAATTCAGTCAATCTATTTCATAGCTGCTGGGAATCTGTCATGATAAAGTTATGAAGAACTTGTCAAATTCCTTTGACGTATATTTATACATATATCGACTTGTAAAACCATTCACGTCGTCATATAAGATAAACTTTACACGACTTTAAATTCTATGCGTTGTCAACTCCTTTTTGGGTAGTCCGTTGATTGCCTGCTGCAAGGCACAATTCAAAATACCCTCTTTTCACATTGGATTCTAAATTTCATAACCTTCATCCATTGAAGTCAGCTTTGCAGTCTTTTTTGTCCTGCATATGCATTTAATATAAGTAGACCATCAACCAATCTAAGAAACTGATATTACTTTGACACATACTGCTATCGGAGTTTCATAACACTACACTATTCATTTAACGCAGTTGACTTCAATAATACTGAATAGTGTTATTTTACTGATTGTGTTCTATTACCGATTATGACATGTTGACTGAATGTGGATTCGCAAGAGGGTAATGCGTGCATAACAGGAGATGCTAACCCTGTCAAAACAAACGCTCTTGGTTCTTTTGAAGTTCATGCGATTATCTCAGTTTTTATTTATTACCTTTCTCTTCTTAATCGATTAACCAGATTTGATCATCGGTAATCTACTGTCTCCAGAATAAATCAATTTGCATTTGGAGTAAGTTCTATTTGATCCTGAAATCTGTCAAGGACTGTCAGGGGAACTGTTCTTAAACAGTCTCTACCATAGTTCTTCTGACACCTTCAGAACAGTGTGCGACAGAAGTTGTTCTACCCTACCACAGTTTTTTGACAGGTCCAGCCTAGAACATTTCTTCCCTAGATAGATTTGACAGATTGATCTAACTCAAAACAGATTTGAACACTTCTACCTCATTACAGTTAATACCTAGAACAGATCCTGTCAGGTCTACACATCAGAACAGATCCTGTCAGGTCTACACATCAGAACAGATCCTGTCAGGTCTACACATCAGAACAGATCCTGTCAGGTCTACACATCAGAACAGCTCATTTATTTATCTGTTTATTCATATTTAATTTTATCTTCAAACATATTTGACTATCGATCTTACTTTTCATGATTATTTAATGTTTAACATTTTTTTTAGAATTAATAATTATTATTATTTTTCGTAATTATCTTTATGAACTGTTGTTATTAGCGTAAACCAACATCTACATAATTATACGAATTGATGGATTGCTGATTAACGTCCTGTGATATAATAATACTGAACCACACAGGTATCATTACATAAGATTTTATCATATCAATATGTTCCATTAGATAAACTCTGGTATAAAACCACTCCCTGAGAAAACGTAATGGTCACTGCGTAATCTTAACATTACCTTTGATAAACACATAAAAAATGGCTCCACGAAGAGTTTATTTGTTATCAAAAGAAAATATATATTTATATAATTATAATTAAAACTGCATAACCATTCTAATACAAGTAAAACTACTAAATAGTTTTGATAAAAAATTGTTTATATGATATATACTTTACAGGAAAAATCCAGTAAAACCTCCCCTGACTTTCACAACAGCTTCTCTAACTTATGATATTTAGAACTGTTCTACCTTAAACAGATCCTGATAGGTCTACCTTAGAAAAGATTGTGATTGGCCTACCCAAGTACAGATACAGATGGGTCTACCATAGTACGGAACCTGAAAGTTCTAAGCTCTATTGCAATGGCAGAACTGTTCTATATCAGATTAGAAAAGTTTTATGACAAATAATTCTGATATTTTCGAAGAGAGGTAAGAAATGATTCCAACTATAAATTGATAACACTCTAGGGTTTATTTGTACACCTTGTTTGAATACTGAAATGGTTGATTAATATTGATTAATGAATTTTGATTGATGCTAATATACTGTTGTTTCACATTGATTGTAAGGTGATCTACGCCGTGCAGATGACCGATATCATTCTATATTAAAATTTAAAGTCAATGTGGTGTAAACTTTCTGTGAAATCTGTCTGTAGATTATTTTTTTATATTTAAATCGATTTATGTAACAGATTATAACCGTAATGCATTGGGCAAAATTGTCATGAGCAGATAGTATTATACTTGTATACCAGAAAAAAGTATAACAAAAATACTAAACTCCAAGGTAAATTCAAATAGAGGAAATCCATAAAAACTGACAAAATCTAACGTTATAAATCAGCGGCAGCACGAGTGAAAAGTAACTGTCATATTTCTGACTTGGTACATGCATTTTCAGAAGAAAAGGCTGGGTTAAACGTGGTCTTATAGCTAGCTAAACCTTCCACTTTTATGACAGTTTTTATAGTTCCGTTATATTAACAAAGTTGCGTGAGTACACCAAAAAGATATTAGGTTAATGTGACAATAATTGGGATCTTAGTTTTAAATAACCCGTTGTGCAAAAGAAATGAACAAATTTGCATTCACTCTACGGCTTGGTGCAAAAATCGTTCGATATTAAAAGCAATTCTACAGATGGGCGTCTGTTCAGCTATACAAAATGTATAAATAAGTATCCAAATGCGAACGGAATAGGGACGTGAAATCTGATCTCGTGTGTAAGGAGAGTGCTCAGATCTCTGAACGTTAAAATTTACAACTACTATCTGAAGGTCAGTAGGTGGCCTGTTGCATGACTTGCTTTCTGTCCCTATCCCTCATACCGACATGTTTACTGCCAGTGGCAATTCCCACTCCTCAAATCGCTCTATCCTCTTTACATAACCTACCTATTATAGTTACTGTGGATTCATTATTATTCGTTGGATACCATTTTTCGTGGATTTCGTGGGTACAGATAAACCACGAATTTAAATGTTCAACGTTACGAATTACACATTTTCTATCAGGTTGTATGTAGGCTTCGGCAAATCCACGAAATCAAATATCCACGAAAATTGGTACCCACGAAAACAAACTAATCCTCAGTACTGTTCTTGTCACTTGTCTAAGACAAAACACAATCATTCAATCTTAAACATCTTTTACAAAACCTTACGATACTAGTATATCATTTACAATATATGATAAAAAGCATGGTTTTATCAAGGAACCGGGAGAGCGAAAGAGAATATATTGCACATCGTCTAACTATTAACCTTGTGACCAATATCAAGCAAAAATAATCATAATCCAGTGATTGTCTCTGTTTGCATCAGTCGTACGAAATTTATCAGTGGTTTTGTTATTCATTTACTAGCACTTGGTCGATACCGATAAACTTCTAGTCCCGAAGGCATTTTTAATTCAGTAGTCAATGATTCGGTATTGACATGATTTATAAAACACCTTTATTAACTTTTCCGTTTAGGAATTTATACATTGTTCTGAATCTTAGGTTCAAAATCCCTCCGGATTTGGCTATAATCTAATGATCTTTTTTGGTCATATACATATAGCTCTTGGCATGGTAAGTATTTATCATCCCTGGTTTCAAATGTTTGCATTTGAGCATTCCTGACGAAGATGAATTTAGTGTAATTCTTAGTTTGCTGTTCGCCGTTTTGTTTTTCTTTTCACATTTTGTCTTACCGGGGCCTTTTATGGCTTTCCTATCTCGAGGGTATCAGTGGTCCAGTAGTAAGCAATTCTGTTTTGACATGAATTATCAATGATATGGTAATATCTAAAAGTTACTGTTTGAATTGTTCAAAATACTTAGGATTTTTCTACCCCAGAAATAGGTTACCTTGGTAAAACCTTTCGGAATTTTTAGTGCGCAATGCTCTTCAACTTTGTACTTTGTTTGGCCTTTTAACTTTTATTCGAACGTCACTGATGAGTATTTGTTGACGAAACGCGTGTCTGGCCTACAAAATTATAAGACTGGTATCTTTGATGAGTTTTTTTTTACTATACGATATTGGTTTGACTCATTATTGAAGGCCATACGGTGACCTGTAATTTTTTCACATCTTTGTAAAATGGTCTTTATTGATAGTTGTACCATAAGCAACCATATCCTCTAAATGAAAACGTTACTAGTAACAGTAGTATAAAACGTTGTTGTTAAAGACAAGTTCAAACAGCCGGACACATATAAGTGTTTCTCAGTCCTTAGTTTTCTATGTTGTGTTTTGTGTACTTTTGTTTGTCTGTTTGTCTTTTTCTTTTTTAGCCATGGCGTTGTCAGTTTATTTTCGACTTATGAGTTTGAATGTCCCTTTCTTATCTTTCGCCTCTCTTATATTACCTGATTTTGAAAAAATAAATAAATAGAAGGACATCCATAGCCAAAATGAGTTAGTTTGTTCCAGAAAGATATAATAATTAATTCAAACACGCGTTCGTCCGATTGAATTATTACTCATTACTATAGAAAAGATTTTGTAATATATCATATTATTTTTAAATATTCCTTGCTAAATAGATATTAGAAGATGTGGTATGAGTGCCAATGAGACAATCCTCCATCCAAGTCAACATTTATAAAAGTAAACCATTATAGGTCAAAGTGCGGTCTTCAACACGGAGCCTTGGCTCACACCGAACAGCAAGCTATAAAGGGCCCCAAAAATTACTAGTGTACATATCAGCAATTTAAATCTTCTTTGAAAGGATTTTAGTTCTAAAAATTATCATCCGCAACTCTAACTAAATCAACATAGAGAAACAGGTTTTTTTTTAAATATACTAGTCAACAAAAGTAACGATACACAAGTTTGAACTCCAATTTATCATAAAATATAATAAATAGGAAAAACTGTTAAAGTATCCAAAGAAAAACATTCATTTGCAAAGCAAATGCATATGATTAAAACAATATGACAAAATTGGAAAGTGAGAAAATACCGTATTATCGAACACAGGGGTCAAATTTATTTTGCGGAAAATGATTTCAAAAGCCGGCACTTAATTTCGAAGATGAGAATTAAGTATTCAAATACCTGCAAAGGCATTCAAAATTTTTAGCAGACCATGTTTATATTTAAAGTTTTAAGTTCTAATATCGATTTTTGAATTTTTGGGTGAAAATACGATTTTTGAAATAACAAAAATTGAAAATGCATTGCCTTGTATCGTTTCTTTTGTTGACTAGTATATATCTAAAATTTTGTCATCAGCTTCGTTTACAATTTCTTAAATGAATATAAAAATTGGAAGTCCAAAATTTGTTTTTGTCTTTATAACTTTACGAGTAATACTTACGCCAGACAGCTGAGTTCGTAATTAATTTAATGGTTTTTATGTAAACTAAATAACACAAACATAATTTGGACTTACCTTCTAATTTAACTATTCTGCGTTTAGCACTCCTTCTTGTGCATTCGATGAGTTTGTTGACATGGCTAAACATCTCTTTTTCTAACGTACTATGCAAATGATTTATTAGGATAACGATCTTTTGTTATGCATCATTTTGATCTGTCTATACATAATTTTATTTATTTTCTTATGTTATTTTGTTTTGTCGGTATATTGAAAAATAACACATGTTACATGTACATCAACTTGTCATTTTTAATCTTTTTCTATTCATCCATTGTTTCACAAATAGAGGAAGAAACAGTATGATGACATAAAATACTTTAGTTGTTAAAACTACAACATGATGAACTAACTGGTCATTCATCTATTATTGGCCATAATATTCTAACACAGGTTATTTATAATTCAAAAGTTAATTTTCGCGTAGGTAGTTCAGTAACTTGTCATTTTAAATCTTTTCCTATTCACCCATTGTTTCACCAATAAGAGAAGAAACAGTATGATGACAAACTACTGTAGTTGTTATACATGTAACTATAACACTATTAACTAACTTGTCATTCATGTCTTTATCTTTTGGCCTTAATATTCTAACACAGCTTTCAAATTACTTGAAATCATTTCCAGATGGATGATTAACTATTTGTTGAAACATCGAAGTAATTCAGGAAAAAATATTTATTAAAATATCATAATTGATTTGTCAACCTTTTTTTATGATCCATAAAACGCCATTTAGCTCTACTCACTGTTGATAAACACACTATTAATAAATCATCGGGAATGTAACAGCATTGCAAAATATTTACATTAAAAGACATTAATTTTTTTAACAGTTAATAAATTAGCAAAGGTATCATCTTAGTTATTGATTAAATTCTCTTTAAATCAGGTACAGGTGTCGGTATTTGAGTGGCGGAAAGGTTTCTATATTGCAGTTTAAGTCAACATTTTTGTAACTTCTTATGTTTTTTATCAAGCCATCAGATTTCAAAACAAACACAAGTACAAAATTTTTATTGCCAGTCAAACAAAATCTTACCATGATAACAGTTTGTATAAAATTATGATAATCATAATAATAAGAGATTTACAGAACTAAGAGGATAAACATACTAAGTCAAATTCTTGCCAGTCTTGAAGGTTGATGGAGAAAGAAGGATGGTATGCAGTTGTGCTATCATTGTCCTTTTAAATTCGCGATTAATTGTTACAATGGCAAACATACTTCATCTCCTTATTTTTATACTAAAAATATTGAAAATATCAAAATATGAAACAATGTGTCGGGTTGAATTTACTCATATCAGTGAATATTCGAACAGTCCAGGTAGAGTTTTATATGACTTGTTCTCTTGTATGTCTATTGATCAGAAATACAAAAAAAAAATCAACATGAATTACCCAAAACGGTGGAGAGATCAAACACAACACAAACCACCAACATGTTAGACAACTGAGACGAAAGATGTGATACCACCAAATCATATAAAAATAAGAAGATGTGGTATAATTGCCAACGAGACAACTCTCCACAAGAGACCAAATGACACAGAAATTAACAACTATAGGTCATCGTACGTCCTTCAACAATAAGCAAAACCCATACAGCATAGTCAGCTATAAAAGGTCCCGAAATGACAAAACAATTCAAACGAGAAAACTAACGGCCTAATTTATGTACAAAATGATGAACGAAAAACAAATATGATACACAGAAACAAACGACAACCACTGAATTACAGGCTCCTGACTTAGGACAGGCACATAGTACGTCACATCCGGTTCGAAAAAAATATTCACTTGAATTTGACAGTTGTAGGAAAATAACCCTGCATTTCATTGACGATATTTATTATTGTTATAATCATATATCTTGGGTGTTTAGAAGCATCATTCTTTTTTTTTCGGTTCTTCTATAAAATAATTTGGAAACTTCAGGTGACATGGCTACTAAAGCTTGTAAACAGGAAAAAATGGGGTGAAAATTTGATTGGTTTACTTCCGGTGATGGTTTTATCTTATATGCAGTGAAATGTAATGTACATTATTTATTCTAGTACTGGACAGGATAAAACTTTATTCATGCAAAGTATTTCTTTATTTGAAACAAAGATAAATTCTACACAATTTTTTTTTGAAAAATGCCAATCTAACTTAGACTAATAAGGAAAACACTATGGTGGTATTACTCCATAATAACCATAACCACGTGGCCCCAATAACCGGACTTTGTAGAGGAACAAAATGTGGTGGAATTAAACCAGTTTAAGATGCACACAATATTTATTAACACATGGCCTCACTAACCGAACGTTGTAAAGGAACAATATGTGGTGATATTAAATAATTATAACATGCAGACATTAGCACATCAAAGTAACAAAATAATGGTCCTCATAACCGGCACAAATTGTGGTGGATTTCAAAATTTTATGTGTACACAAATCTCCGCGTTTGTTTTCTAGTCAATGAATGTCGTAACAGTAAAACACACAATACAAAAACCTCCCCTGTCCAGCTGAGTAGGAATATAAGTTACTTTCTATTTAACAGGTTAACCACATCACAGATAATTATAGAGAGAATTGGGATAGATATTACTATTCCTCCTACGATCCCTATAAACATAGAGGAGGTACGAATATCAGTTTGTGAACTTTTAGATCGCTTGTAAGAACTAATTTTCTTCTTATCAATTCGCAGTTCGTGTTTGATTTTAGCAACAACCTCGTCCAGTTCAGAAACGCTCATACTTCTACCCATACTCTGACATGAACAGGAACACATTGCTTTGTCTAGTGGTTGAGGACTGCTGTCTTTTACTGTTAAATGTGAATATCCCTCTGTTGCAGTTTGACCAATCGCAGAGTTCGTTGTTTTGTCTATTTTAGTCGATGTTATGGCTCCATCAGTGTTCACATTACAATTATCTAAAAAATAAGTCAAAAAGGTAGAGTTTACCCGAACAATTAGCGATTAGATATTAACGCGGTGCACGGAGACAAAGATCTGGATAATGATAAGATATATTATTTCAATCTCATTCGATAAACCCCAAACTTCCTAAATATGGATACAAAATATTGCATTCAAAACAACAATAAATCAGACAATCAGGTATAACCTGGCATGCTCTGTATACATAGAACCTGGCATACTCTGTATACATAGAACCTGGCATACTCTGTATACATAGAACCTGGCATACTCTGAATACATAGAACCTGGCATACTCTGTATACATAGAACCTGGCATACTCTGTATACATAGAGCCTGGCATACTCTGTATACATAGAACCTGGCATACTTTGTATACATACATGTAGAACCTGGCATACTCTGTATACATAGAACCTGGCATACTCTGTATACATAGAACCTGGCATCCTCTGTATACATAGAACCTGGCTTTTTTTTTATTTTCAGGTTTACCGTCAGGTACATGTATAGCCTGGCATACTCTGTATACATAGTTGGACCGTATATTTGAGAATATCTACTTCAACGAATGGGTTTTGTTATAAAATAAACATATTTTTTAAAATAAAATTCTTTATTTTTACACACTCCATTCTGTTAATATGTAGCATATCTAAAGGGCCTTTTTTATTTCCAGTTTTACCGTCAAAATAATGGACAGTTGATATATGCTGATTTGGTTGAGCCGCCATATCAATACCTTGAAATCCATCATGTGGTGTGATGATCCTAATATGTACGAACATAAAACCGCAACCTGGCTATGTATTTGAAAGCGTACTTTATAAGTCGTAATATTTGTTCATATATGGTTCATATGTTACAACTCTTTTTAAAAATAGGACTTAAAACAAGATATATACTACTAGTGAATTTGTATCACAAGTACCATCGGGAAACCCCTCTTTTATGCAAACCCTGTTTCAAACAAAAAGTAATCTGAAACTAACATCGATATGCTTAACTTTTATATCGACATATTATTTGGTACGTTTTATGGATGTGTGTTTAAAAAGAAAATTCGGAATTCCGATGGGTACCAACTATACCCCTCTTCTATCCCATTTGTTCCTTGTTTTTTCATAAGGCAGATCTCTGACAGGGGATATGAAGAAGAATGATAACAAGCTTGCATTATCGAATATCCTTAATTTTGCTTATATAGATGATAACCTTTAACTGAATGATTTTTCATGTTTGTGGCTATGTTGATCGCATCTATCTGATTGAACCTGAAACAAAAGATAGCCAATACGAAGGTATAATATGATATGAATGCCAATGTCACCGTAGGTCTTCAACAATGAGCCAAAACCCATATCATACAGTAAGCTATAAAAGGCCCAGAGATGAAACAATGTAAAAAAATTCAAACGAGAAACAAACGGTTCGTAAAATCTATAACTGTTAAAAAAAAATAGGTTTTTCAACCCCCAGGCATATATATCCTTGTCGTAGTTTTGGTTTTCAATGCTCTTCAACTTCGTTTTTGAGTTGTCTGTTGACCTTCCAAATGTTTAGATTCGAGCGCCACTTATGCGTTTTACGTAGATGAATTGCGTGTCGTGTGAACCAAATTATAAGCCTGGCATCGTTGACAAGTTTTTATGTACAAAACAATACAAGTAGTAGGAAATGGGGTCAGTCCGCCACAGTTCCGCCACAGGAAGCCACGTCACAGCTAATCCTCTTAACTATGACGTAGTATCCGGTCTATAATCTCTTAATCCTCTTAACTGCTACTTAACATCCGGGTTATAATCCTCTTAACTGAAGTGGATTAATCTCTTAATCCTCTTAACTGCTACTTAACATCCTGGTTATAATCCTCTTAACTGAAGTGGATTAATCTCTTAATCTTCTTAACTTGTACATAACATCCTGGTTATAATCCTCTTAACTGAAGTAGATTAATCTTGTAATCCTCTTAACTTGTACTTAACATCCTGGTTATAATCCTCTTAACTGAAGTAGATTAATCTTGTAATCCTCTTAACTGCTACTTAACATCCTGGTTAAAATCCGGTGGTGGAAAATTAACGGAAGTGTTTTTAATCCCCCTACCCTCCTACGTATGATCTTGTAAACGTGGTATACACGTTGACCTATCCACGTTTACATCCTGAAGTATAATCTGAATGCAATCAGTTTATAAACTAAGTAAAACGTTTACTATATATCATACAT